GTCTTAATCGCTTAAAGAATTTATTAATTGTTTGCATGAATTCAAACGTTTTCGGATAAAATTCAAGTGAAAACCTCTTCAAATGCTGTAAATTGTGACCAATTTCTGCCAATCCGTTACATGTCTTCGTATTACACTTAATGTGTAAATCAATTAATGCCCGCATTTGTGACAATCCTGTCATCAGTATTGCGATCGACTTCTCATCACAACTACTATCGATTGTCACTGAAATTGAGTTCAAAGTATTTCTATAGTTTTCTACGAATAATGAAATACTATTCACGCAAACATTGGTGTATTTGTAGCGAAAGCTCTTTAATCTCTGAAACAACACCACATTTCTATCACCAGATGATAGATACGATAGACAAGACTTGTTCCCAAACCACAGCTCAAGATGTGTTAAATGAGTGCAAAACTTGATATATTCACTGATGGACAGGTAGTTCTTAATACCATGGCCAATCATTAACTTATAGTCGGTTAATGTAAATGATTTCAATTGTTTGGCAAACTTTGTAAAAAAATCATCAATAGTTATGTCACTTAAGTTGGTATCCAGTGTAATGGAAATAGTATTCAAATGATTGCAATGTTTGATGATTAACACGACTATTGAGTCAATTGTCTCGAAGTATGAATAACACGTGAATGCAAATGATGTGATGTTTTGGCACTTCTTTAGCATTAATTCGAGATCTTTTAGACTGGCTTTTGGTAAATAAGATTTATTGTCAAATATGATCACCAATTGTGTCTCGTATATGACTCGTTGCCACTGTTTGGACACACATTCACATCGGAACCGGTCTTCGAGTGATAGGAAAGACAATAAGTGTTGACACAAATCGTCACCGAATCGGTCCAAAGAGTCTTTCGGATAGACTTTTATATCATATTTTGCAGACATTTCGTGTCTATTATAAGACTTATATTTTTTTTGAAATTAAATGAATAACTTTATTGGAAACTATACACGAATTACTGACTGATTAGTAAGCGATTGATTGAATAGAGTCTATTCAAAAAAGGGATGTAAAATATGTCCATGAATTTAAATATCAAGTTCATGTAAACAAGCTTACTATTATTATAAAACATTATGATATAATAGATGTCTAAAATTTCATTCAATCTTGATTTAAAACTTATCATTTAATATGAATGCAAAAAATGTTTTAATAGTTAAATGACTTAATATATTTAATTTTTATAATATATTTAATTTAATAGGTAAAGCATTGTAGTTTTTCCTATTGTTTTTTGTCAATTATTGTATGATTTTTTTGCCTCAATATATCATTTTAAGAATTCAGTCCAACATTTGTATTGTATTCAATAAAATAAAATAGTTATTTAGAGTAGAAATCTGATTGCTCATATTCCAAATGTATTTAATGAATTATTTTCCGTAACTTAGTTTTCAAAACTTCCATAAATTAACAATTATTTGTGAGATAATTGTGAACTTCTATGAAAACAAGACTAATCGATAGGGCTTATCAATTGTCGGGTAATTTCCGTTACGTGTAAATAAGTGATTTTGAGGGAAGGTATGCGAGAGAGAGAGAGAGAGAGAGAGAGAGAGAGAGAGAGAGACTGTTTACTACTTCTAAAGACAGTCATAACTTCATATCAGTTACGATGAAACGAGTGTTTCTATCACAGGTAGAGATAACATGCAAAATCATAATTAATAGGATAGGTATGGTATGGAAAAGGGACAGGTGTGTAAAATATGAAACTCTAAACTTTTTGACAACACCCTATCGCCCCCTTGAAATAGCACTGATATAACAGTGTTTGTGAACGCATCGCAATGCAAGACTATGGCGTGAATTCAAATACTGATTTGTCGATCGCTGATTGGCCGCGCGTTTAAAATACACTGCAATCGACAGTATTGTACGCATTGAGTACGCAATGCAATGAATAACTGTTTATTATATTAGTGGCGTTCACTGCATACGAGTCATACGTTTTGCACATTTAATGCTATTTAATATGTTTTTCACAATCAATTAGTAATCGCTATTAATATGTGTTTTTTAAATGAGTTTTTCACTCGTAATTAGCGCTGAATTGCATTGCAATCCATAGTTATGTCGACAATGACTGCGTTTACGCGTGTTTTGTGTCAACGTTTTGCCACTAAATCACTGCTTAAACCGTAAACACGTTTCCCGACTGTCATTGAGATGTAAACAACTGTTTGTTAACATAATTATCGACTAATAGTAACCGATATTAACCGCAAATCTGTGATAATATTTACACACAAGAAGTGGATTGAGTTTTGTTGACCACAAAAGTCAAACACAAAAATGCTTTTCATATCAACAAACCGCTGGACACTAGCCATCGGTGTCTTAATTGTGATCAACAGTGTGGCCGCCGATGGCTCTCAACCGGCGCCTACTGTCAGCCCTCCCGGCGCTGCCGACTCGTCCCCATCGACACCACTGGCCACAGATGGCGACCACAAGTCCGGTGATAATCGCGACGCGAATGCGAGCCAATCGTCGCCCGACACGACCTCCGGATCCGGGGATCAGTCGACGATATCAACGACAACGACCATCACCGCCGCCACAGACAGTGAGGGCACCGGTGGTGACCAATCGGTGACGACAAACGCCACTATCAACCGGACATCATATGTGGAACCGTTGGTGAATGACTTGCCGTCAGTGCCCACTCCGGCGCCGCCCTCTGAGATGTTGTCGTTCGAGGAATGGCGCAAAAAGATCGCCGAAAAGGCTGTCCAACAGCAACAGCAGCAACAACTGCACCAACAAAACGGCGCTCAACTCACTGTTCCCAAGACTACGGGGCAGCAGGCGATCGGTGGACAACAAACGGGTCAAGTGTTGACACCCCAGGGCTCACCCGTCGGGACGCAGACGTCCGGACAGGTGACGGACGCCGGAAGTACAGGCGCTGTGGCCCAGAAGCCCAAGTCGATGGGCGTCCAGAAAAGGACCCGTAATTTCGCGTCCCATGAATGCGGCGCTAAAATAGTGGACAGCAATCCGGAGTCGGAGTCCGTCTTAAGGTTTGTATTTGTGTTGTGTTTTGAATGTGATTTGAATGGTGTGTCTGTGTCTGTCATTTAAACCCATTTTTGCAGCTGTTTTCTACATAAGGTTAACCCTTTCGGCACCGGAATTACTATTTTTGTTTTATTTAACATATTTCTATTACAGTCTCTCTCTCTCTCTCTCTCTCTCTCTCTCTCTCACACACACACGTAATAAACGAGTTATTATTAATTCATTTCTTGTTTAAATACTAGTATTAAATACATATAATAAAAGGGGTTTTTATTTGTTTGATTGAGTTTTACCTTCAAATTCATTGCCGTCTATAAGACGCCAAGTATTTAGTAATTATAAAAAATATAATTTTTTTATAACTATTTATAAAAGTCGAGTGAATAGTATTTTGTAATCTATTTCGTGTGGAAACACATGAGTGGAAAAGCATAAGGAAACGGATCACTGACTCCACTGTATTTTGTATGCGAACTAACTTTCCATATGATACTCGCAAATGACATTGACTTTTGTCACAAGTTTGACAAAAAAAAAGTTTGAAAAATTACATTTTTTATTCAATTTTTAAAACACATTTTGTGTAGCAATTGATAATACATAGTGAAAGGAATGGTATATCTTATCGTAGAGTGTAAAGTGTATGGCATCGGGAGGTTCTCTCGCATACCTATGCACCAGACCTTTGCCTCGAAAATTGTAGATATTTTTTATTCGCTGAACATTACATTTTCGGCGTTTATTTTTAGCCTTTTTGACCCATTTTTTATATATACACCCATTACATAGGAATTTGTATGGTTTTGGATGACAGCGAGATTTTAACCACTGATTCGCAGTGTATTTCCTATAGTGTACTCTCCATTGTTAGCTAATTATTAATGACTAACTGTGCGCTACGCTAGACACGTGACTGAACTTTAATTAGTTGAACGATAATTGTATTTATTTTATCCGTAATCTATATTTGAGTACAAAATGTGAAGAACTTTTACCCGCTACTGTATACAAGTTTTCTATATAACTATTTCCTAAGTACGCCCCCTTCTAGATAAACACATAAAGCTACGATATGTGACGCCCCCTGTCCACCACTACACCACCGGTCACCCCCTTTGAATAGACACATAGCGATGGATCTGAATGAGTGGTTAACATGTTTTTTGGTTTGTTTTCTGTGGACAGGATTCTGAACGAACAGACCGACGAATATATGCTGAACCCATGCAAAGCCAAGATCTGGTTTGTGGTGGAGTTGTGCGAAACCGTACAGCCCATGCACATAGAACTGGCTAACTTTGAACTGTACTCATCGGTGCCCAAAGAGTTCAACATACAGGCCAGCGATCACTATCCCACCCGCGACTGGTCCTCATTAGGTAAGCGTCGCTCCCGACGATTGGTTACGCTATACGAGTAGTGATAATACCGGTGAATGTGTGTTGAGTTAACTGAGATGTCATATAATAATGGGCGGGCATAACGGGACAGGAGGTTAACGATTGTATGACTCCATGTCACTGACAGTGCATTCAATCGATTGACTGGTATTGTCACGAATCTAACGATTAGTTCATTGTTTTCAATTGTATTATTGAACGGCTATTTGAAGGCACGTTTGGCGCACAGGACGAGAGATCGGTGCAACGGTTTCCCCTCCAGAACACAGGGTTCGTGAAGTTCATAAAAGTGGAGCTCCTGTCCCACTACGGCAGCGAACACTTCTGTCCCCTAAGTGTGGTGACCAGTGATGGCGGTGTCGGACAACAGGCC